AATACCTATCCGGGAACACTGGAATTCTTGTGTCACCAAAAGGAAAACAAGCATACCAACAAACCACAATAATCTTTTAATCAATGGTACACGTTTTCGCCAGGAACTCAATTTTGCATTAATCAAATAAAAGCGCTTTCCCAATGCCGAAATAGCGGAGTTTCTGCAATAGTTCTGAAGCAGTTATAATATTATAACACCGCAAATTTAAATTAAGTTTAAGTTGTTATTAATTTAATAATGTGTAAACAAATATAGCAAACGAGCTGATGGGTATGGCATTGCGTAATGCGTATTATACGGCTCATTTTGAATTTCATGTAATTGGGTTCATAACTAACGGAGGGCTTCCTTATTTTTTTGGCATACATTGCCAATTCACGAACTCCGATCTACAAATTTGATAAAGCATCCACCTGCAAACTTTCATCATAATTGGTCCATTCGTTTTCGGGATATCATGCTAAAAGATAGATGAACAGACATCGCAAAATTAGGTTTAGCAGGCGAAAAATGACTGCACATTTAAAAATGAATTAAGTCCGTAAAAATCTGGAAGAGTAATGGAAGCCATTGCTGACGCAGACAAGGTTATATTTTTCGTTTTTTTTTGTTGAGGTAGGTCTCTATGGGCCCAAGATGGAGTTTTGGATCACACATTATGGACCATCTGATCAGGTTATTTTTTTGCCGACTCAAGCAGGTATGCTTATTGACGCTATCATGACGGCTACCCATTTCCCCCCCCCCCCTCCCCTGTGCCTTTTTTTTTAGTATTTACGAGCACGTACGCTCCTCGTATAGAACGTTGTTTTTCGGGTTATCGATCAGATTTATCATTTGTCTTCGGTCTCTTCCTTCGCCTTTGTTCCATTTTTGTCAGCAAATTGAGTTGTTAGAATTGAAATTGAGCTGTTAGAATTAGAGCCCTAAAAAAGGTAGGTTGAGGTTGGAGGTAGTAATAATGTTGGGAGCAGAGGCGATCATTTCAGTTTTGTTGGTTCCCTTTTTCCAGCTAAAACATTGAACGGAGGGGTGGAGAGTAAGAACGTTGGGAGCAGGTAACTTGTAAGCAGGTAGAAAGACTTTCAATCAAAAACAGTTTTGTTACTCGGCGTATAACCGGAACACTTAATTGTGGATTCAAAATCAAACAACCAATCTTGTAACCAGTGGCGTAACTTCATTTTAGAGGCCCGTCTTGATTTAGGTTTGCTAATTTTACAATTTGTAATTCATTGGTTCACAGGTCCATTGTAAAATTTAGCGTCACTGCTGTCTGCGTTCTGTCAGAGTCGAGTTGATTTTGTTCTAACTTTAATTGTCAAGCTTTGTCGTTTTATTGTGACTTGTATTGACTTCAGCTATAACTAGGGCTAGGTAACGCTTATTTAATTGTTTCACTTTAAATGTTATCCTTATTTTGATTTGTTTAATATTGGCCATTTCCTTCCATATTTAAACTCGTTTAGTTTGATTAGCGACTTCAATTCTTTGTGTATGAATCTGCCTGTTTCGTCCGTGCAGAGGTAAATGTTGGAATGTTAAAATTACTTAGCGGCATTCATCTCGAAATACAACTTCAGTCTAAGGTTACCGTATCCAGGAACTCCAGATACCTTCTGGATTGGAGAAGGTTCCGCTAATTAACAAAGTATTTCATTCACTTTATGTAAGAGACTTCGGAATATTATTTTTCACTAATGGGAAAGGAGTGGAGCTACTTCATATCTATTTGAGTTGGCTACTTTTGAGCATATCAAATTTAAGATTAAAGTCAGATTTAAATATTCAAATTCAAGAGTGATTTTCTCGGATTGTTAAATTTGGTATATTGGAGATACTGCTTCAGATTTTTCACCTATATTTACCTTTCGTGAACGATCATTCAAAATTTTCTTCGGACTGTAATTGTAAACTGTAAAAAAGCAGGTGTAAATAAAACATTAGACGGCATTTGCATTACTTACGCTTTTTTACGTTTTATCCCTTCCTTTAGTAACGGAAAATGTGTAAATAATTAATAGAAGCATAACATTGAAAGAGTTCGGGAAATTTTCAATTTATGTCAGAATGTTGTATGAATGAATTAAATTTTCTGTACATTTTTGCCGGGGCCCCTTTTAACTCGGGGCCAGTCCTCATTGCGTACCTTTGAGGCATGGTACTTACGCCACTACTTGTAATACTATAAAAAAATGCAATTTAGTTTTTGATTATTTATTTATTTATTTGTATTTGCCCAATTACAGAGAATACAAAGTGACATGATCAAACTAAATTTACTAATGTCCACATCAACTAAATTATATTGTTCTTAAAAACAAGCACATAAAAGAAAGCTGTACAAAACATTCTCAGTTACAATAATTATATACTCGTATTACATGTATACAATATATTACATTATGAATGTTATGCAAAGTAAACCAAACAAATTTAGATGTAATTTAATTTTTTTTTATTTGTTTTAGTTTGTTTACGACTCTGTACCTATCAATTTCTGGATAATCGTACGAATCGATTGATATTGCCTGCAGCATTGCGCGTGGAAGAAAAATAATGTATGTTGATTTAATGTTGACAAAGGAAATGGGGCTATACATATACTGACAAAGTTCGCATTTCAATTTTAATTACGATTCGCTCGTTTGTTACCTTATCAATGTAATCGCTTGCTGGTTGAGCCAGTAATGCGGGTAAAAAATCTTAACGTAAATCAGTTTCATAAAGCGCACTTCAACGAGACACTGTTCCGCAGCTAGTGCTTCAAATATTTGTTTTTCTGTATCTAAATACAGTAAAACCTTTAAATTAAAACCTCCTACTCTCCCTTTGCTCTCTCGTCTAGAGCTGCCCTGAGACGGGGATGTTGTAAAGCAGGAGATTCCAATTTGACGGTATAAGTTTTCGTTTGACTAATCCTATATCACATTTATGCAGATATGGAAAAGAACATGTTCGAAAAAGACAGACAGGCGAGCGTCTGTGCAACTTTTTTTTTCAAATTGTAAGTGTAGCTTCAAGCTTTTGTACACTTTAATGTAATCGCGTGTATTGTGAGATTTACTCTAATCACGAAAGTCTGCCATACAAAACATATGAAACAACTTAAATGACATTATGCCCACAGAAATCTCGGAAATCATATTCATTTCTTAAAGTGTAGGTACCTATACTTACTTGTTGGTGCGTTTTTCTTGTTTGCTCTATTGGGACAGCTGTATGTGTGCAAAGTGATTCAAGTATCCCCACATTCTCATAAAATATAGAAAAATACCCCATAAGATTAGTATTTATTATTTTTAGTAGCAACAACTCTTATAATCCAGATTGATTACAAACGGTTTTTTTGCATCTCATTGTCGTTATTTATTGAAATATAAACCCTGTCCAACAGGTGTCATAGTACAACTTGAATTATGGCCAACGATGTCAAACATAAACTAAATTTGGTTGGGGAAACATACAAAAGTTGTGTAAGAAATAAACATCATAGGTACATATTAGATGAACACGATCATTTTCATAAAAAATATTAACATTGCATGGTTAGCATCCTTAATTTGACAAGTTCGATGGTTTTATGGGGTAATTTAATTGAGAATTTTTTGGATTTTGTAATCGTTTGCATTTTGAAAAACTTAATTTGCTTACTAATTTCGTTTGGCACAATGGCAAAACACTCTGACTTCATGAACATAACTTAAACCGTTATTTGATCGGATTCTGTCATTTTCTAATTTTGTTATAGAAACGGTAGCATGCACTTCTCACAAAAAAATATTTCAAAATTATATGTTTCATTAAACCAACTGGGCGTGAAATTTTGTGTTTTGTTCATTTATCGACAATTTTTAGTTAAAAAAGTTAACTGAAGTTTAGTAATCATAATATTCCTAAAGAAACCGACCTGCACGAATAAATTGCATGAATTAAATTTGTATCGCACTTACTATTGGATCCACAGAAAGAAGTCTTTTTTTTATTAGTTGGAATTAGGAAATTAATTTTTATAGTAACATTTTTTCTAGTGCAGTTGCAAATATGGGTTTTCAACCCTTGTAAATGCCGTTACACGATTCCCACGTTTTGGTCACGTGAACTCCATCCAGATAGTACTATCGGGTGTTATCGCCCGACTGAATGTCACCAGTAACTTCCGTCATTAACCGTTCAGGAGGCAACGACCCATAAAAATACAGATTGCCAATGTTAATAACAAATACTTTCCTTTAAAAATTTGGAATTACCACAATTTTTCAGAATCTGATCCTTTAACTTTTAATTGTGTTTGGAATAATATCGAATTAATAATGTATAGTGACTAATTCCGATTATAAATAGCTGCCACCGTATCTGCAAACTAAAAGGTCTCTAACGTCTACTTGAATGCTGGAATGAAAACTTTGGCTTTTAGCATACATGTAAGGTATGTACATACTAACTTATTAAACCTATCATTAATACACATATTGTTTTATACGAGCAGGGGGAGAACTGTATAGAAAGACGAACTAATTGTTTGACTGTTGTTGTACTTGCACTGTACCTAATAGGAGCATAACAATTACGGTAAGCGAATTTAGTGAACAGCTCTCCAACCCAGCCACGTTCGTTGCAACGATTTTGAAAGTTTTTTTTTTTTTTGGCTTTTCTCGGGATCAATGCCCATTTAGCCACGATAATGAAAGGAAACCTACTGTCATTAATTAACGGGACTTAAAGGCAGGGGCACACACTTCTCGCCAAGAGGTCTGTCATGGCCTTTCATGTAGACATCACAGGTTGCGACCTTGGATAGATAGGAAGAACGGTTAAACAAAGGTTAGACACTTAGGAGTCCATTAGGAGGGTAAATCTTTGATCTTTAAATATTTAGCCCAATGTTGATTAGATATTAGATTTAGAGTTAGCACACATGAGCGTAGCGATGTTCAACGGCAATTGTGTTCCTCTTTCGATTAACCGAGAGTACATATGATTAATGAACGGCATCCTCAACGCGCAATTAAAAATATATGATTCAAGTCGCCAATCTCCGCCCCGCACATACACATTGGCGAGTCAACCACCCCAATTCTGTGGAGATGAGAAAGAAATCGTCCATGTCCGAATTTAAGACGTGCAATTGAGACGTAGTATTTTTTTGGGATATGATGTTTGATGTACCATGGTTTGAATTTCACCGTGGGCTCAATTGTACTATACTGCGTTCTCCGTTCTTCATAGTACTCTTTCCAATGATTATTATCCCACTCGTCTAACATCTTGCCTTTAAAGAAGTTGAGGAGGTCGGACTTTGGGGTATCATAACTGAGTTTAACCCCATCTTGCGCTGCCTGTTTCGCTAATCCGTCTACCATTTCATTAGCATGTATCCCGGAATGGGCCTTGATCCAGAAAAATTTGACCATATGACCTTTCTGAATAATATTAGACTCCGCGATGATTGCTGTAATTATCGGGTGGGTGTGAAAGTAATGCTTCCTCTGATTGATTCCGGCCAAAACACTCCTGCTGTCTGACATAATAGCAAGGTTCTTAGTTACCCTGTGGATCTTAAAGTATTTTAATGCTTCGAGTATTGCTATTGCTTCCGCTGTAAAAATGGATACGATTTCTCCAAGTTTAAATAACTTGGACACCTTGTTCGAAAGCTGGTAAAATGCACAACCAACTCCCTTCTTGCTTTTTGAGCCGTCTGTAAATATAACCTCCCACCCTTTTAGGTCTTCTAAGATGTTATAGTACTGCTGTATATCGATGATTAAATTTCCCATATACCTTGGAAAGTACGTTTGGAGGATCCTAGTGTAGAAATCATGGTATGACGCCTCCGGTTTCTCTTGTACGCAAGGGGGCATGTTTATATCGTGAACGTAAACACAGGCAACTTACAATGGACTTTGTGCATAATATACACTTTTGTATAAATATGTTGCATAGAGGAGATTGCGGAGGACATTGATCTCGTGCAAATGCTTGGCGCTGTATTTGTAGTGAAATGATCATTTTATATCGTATTGTTCATATATAATTTAGATATAGAACGTCTACTTTTCCTATTGTTTTGTTTATGAGATTCGTAAACAATATCTAGGCAATAACGCCAATTTCCTTTTTTCTTTTCCAAAATATGGCACCCTAACAGCCCTCGACGTTACCCTAAAAAAGATTATTTTAAAACATTTTGGTAAACCCCGGCGTTATTGCCTAGCTAAAGCATTCACTTTTCACAGGAATATTCGACCCCTTCTTCATCTTCACTCAGAATTCAGATATCGTGGAACGAAATCAAGCGTTTTCTAATTTGAAAGTCTGGCGAATATCAGTATTCAGCACAGTATTTTTCACGGCTAAATGTTCAAGGAATCTCTCTGGTAGCGTAGGGCTTTCTTTTTGTGGAACACAATTTTTCAGTTGTAGATACGAACAGGTGCCTTAGTGGGCGTTCACAACGGCGCACCGCACATCGCACTGCACTTAGCATCGTACATAGCATCGACCGGTCGAGGCGAATAAAAGCATACATTTAAATGCACATGTTCATAACGAAGCATCGCACATTGCACGCCCAATGTTGGAGGCGATGGTACCATGCTATGTTAAATGAGCTTAGTATTTTGCATAGCATCGTATGGGTTGCACGAATATGATGGACAAGGAAAAGTTAATAACTTTAGTATTCTCAAGAGAGGGTATATGGAATAAGCGTCATAAACATCATCATAATAGCTTTATGGGATGAACAGTATCCTTTCTCACATTTTCAATGTACCACAAGTGCAATGGATTATTAACAGGATCGAAAAACCGAAGCGAAGCTTCGGTTTTTCGATCCTTAAATAAGGAACTCAACCGTTTACTCGATTTTCATTTTTAATTTCTTTTAAAATGCACCGATTTTGATGAAAATTTTATCACACCTTTTTGAGACGATTTCGAATCGATTCCGAGAATTTCGCTACTGGGAAATTCTCCTGAGCGGCTGGGGAGCATCGTCGTCGAGGTGCGCGAGCTCGGATAAAAATTCGCCTTGGCTATACGGTTTGGGTTAGGGAGTCGAGGCGCCGGCGCGGGGGGGTAGGGGTAGTTGGGGCAACTTTCGGTAAGGTTAAGAAAATTCCTCCGGCGACCTACGGGGTAGCTGCCATAAGAAGCGAAAAAATCGAAAATTTTAGAAAAAAATTCGTAACTCGAAAACTTCGCCGGAACTTTTTTTCGCGCTTTCTGAGACGTCGGGCGACGCGGAGGAGCGTATTTGTGCCGGGGTGCGATTCAATTCTATAGCCCCGTTTGGGAACCGCGCGACCCGGAGGGTCGCTCTCGAAAAGGTGGTTTTTCGCATTTTCCAACTTTGACGCCTTCTACAGGCCGAACCGTTAGAGTTAGAGCAAAACGTACAATTGCGCGATTGTAGATCTCGACGAGATCTACGAGACGAGGGGTCGCGGGTCGCCCTACCACCCCCCGGAGGGGGGTGAGAGGTGAAAAACCGGAGTTTTTGAATAGCGCGTTCCGGCGAAGAGATACGGCGTCGGAATAGGCTTCGATACCTGCGGGCAAGTTTTCTCTTTCTTTTTCCGTTTACCTCGAGGAGGTAACTCGGACGACGGCGCCGTGGTAAATTTTCTCCCGACGGTCTGCAAAAGTCACGTGACCGCTTCGAATTGTTTTTCGCCTACATTAAGCGCCGAAGATTGCCGAACGCGCGCTAACCGCTTTTTAATTAATTGCGAGCTTAATTTTGGACGGAGAATTTCGGTAGAGGTCTCAAAAATTCGAGAAAACTACGAGGAACGTGTTAACATCGGTTTCGGAACGGTGCGTGATCGATTTGTGTTCGAAATTAAGTGATAAAGTTTACGTGTCGGTTAACTGTCAAACGGATTCCGTCAAGTTTTAAAAGTGTTTTTTAAAGGAAATTAACGTATTAAAATGAACGGTAAGTGTTCGAAATTGACTATTATAAACTTTAAAAGTGCTTCGAATAAGTGTGGAGTAAATAAAGTGCGTTTAAATAATTTGCTAATTTACGTATTCTCGTCGTACTTATAGTGGTTTAAAAGAAGTGTTAATGAAAGTCCCGGTAGCTTAGTGGCAAGCAGTTCGGACTTTCAATTTGACGATTGCGCGTTCGAACCCGAGCGGGCGCGCGTTTTTTTTCTTTTTTTGACAAATTTTTTATATTAATTATTTTAATTAAAAGGAACGAAAATAGTTATAATGTTACAATGGAAAAGTTATTGCGGAAGACTTAATGTATACGTGGCCGGTTGCGTTTTGGGTATATTTTGAAATTGGAAGTCATCCGAAGGCTTTTTAAATTAAGGGTGACATAGACGCGTGAGTTTTTTGGTTATAATTTTTTTAAGAGACTTGCCAGACGGGTACGTTCAATGGGGAATATTTAGCTCGAATTATTAGCTATCGTATGCACCGCTCCCCGTCCGAATCGATTGAAAAATAAAGGTTCTGGAAATTTTTTTCTAAAAAAAAAACGATTATGTCGCGTGTTTGCCAAGTTTCTTTTATAATTTTTAAACGGTAATTCGTAGGTATGTACTTACAATGGGAAAATTATAGCATATTTAGTTCTCTATTGGAGGGGACCGATCGGAAGGCGATCGGGATTCGATATACGATAATTATTATTATTATTGTTATACCTGCGGACGAAATTTTTTGAAAATTACCAAAACTGAGAAATTGTCTTTGTAGAACAGTGAACAGTGCGAGGCGAAGCCGAGCTATGGACCGTCACAAATCAGAGCGAGGCGAGGCGGCAAAGCCGCCGGAGCCGAGCGTATCTCTCATCAAACCCAATAAGTGATAACAAAATTAAAAAATCTTATGTGTAGATTTGGATTGAACAAGTTGAATAGAAATTTTCAAAAAAAGGCAGTTTATATAGGTGATGTGTCCAAAAAAATTGTCAATTCAGTCTGCTCAATATCAGTCTCTTACATTACGAAAACTGAAACTGAAAAATTGTCAAAAATTGTCTTTGTGGAACAGTGAACAGCGCGAAACGAAGCCGAGCTATGGACCGTTACAAATCAGAGCGAGGCGAGGCGGCAAAGCCGCCGGAGCCGGGCGTATGTCTCATCAAAACCAAAAATTGACAATATTTAAAATCTGTGCAGATCTGGATTCAACAAGTTGAATAAACATTTTCAAAAAAATCACTTTGTATAGGTGATGTTTTCATAAACAATATTCCACACAAATTCAAAAAAATATCAATTCAGTCTGCTTAATAGCATTTTCTTACCACACCAAAACTGAAACTGAGAAATTATCGTTGTTGAACAGAAAACAGTGCGAGGCGAAGCCGAGCTACGGACCGTTACGAATCAGAGTGAGGCGAGGCGGCGCAGCCGCCGGGGCCGAGCGGATGTATCCTCAAAACCAAAAAGTGTTATCGAAACTAAAAATCTTATGTACAATTATGTGCAGATTTGTATTCAACAGGTTGATTAGAAAAATCACTTTGTATAGGTGTTGTTTCCAAAAAAAAAAACAAAAATATTACTCATAAATTCAAAAAAATTATCAAATCAGTCTGATTAGTATCATGTTCTTACCACGCCATAACTGAAACTGAGAAATTGTCGTTGTTGAACATTGAACCTATACCTACATATTTTATATATACTTCTTTAAAATACAAATTTAAAAAAAACTGAATATGAAGAGTGTGGCACCAAATAGCTTGGGACGTTAGGTTATTTGTAGATTTTTTGAAAGACAAATTCAAACAAAAATTATAAATGAAGCTAAATCGAATGTGACGAAGCAGCGGTGGACATTAGGTTATTTGTAGATTTAAGCTATTTTTTTAACTTTCTTCGAAATACAAATTCAAACAAAAATTCTTTTTAACCGTTTCCCCAACCAAGTAAAATAACCAAAGACTTTCGATTCTTAACACACGCGTCTTGTACATCAATGCCGAGCGAGCCGAAGGCGAGTTCGGCATAACTCTGGCCCTCCCTTAGACTCGTCTCTCTACGTCCACAGTGGCAAACGACATTTACCAATGCCCAATAACACATTACACTTTTTTTCACACCAATTCCGGAGCCGAACGGATATCTCAAAACCAATAAGTATTACCATTTGTGTTTTATATGCATTTATGTTAGGAACTGGAGTCAACAAGTTGAATCGAAATTTTCAAAAAACTTTGCATAGTGATGTTTCTAAAAAACAAAAATATTCCTCATAAATTCAAAAAAAAATGTCCAATCAGTCTGATCAATATCATTTTCTTACCACACCAACACTGAAACTGAGTAATTGTCTTTGTAGAACAGTGAACAGTGCGAGGCGTAGCCGAGCTATGGACCGTCACAAATCAGAGCGAGGCGAGGCGGCGAAGCCGCCGGAGCCGAGCGTATTTCTTATCAAACCCAATAAGTGATAACAAAATTAAAAAATGTTATGTGTAGATTTGGAGTGAACAAGTTGAATAGAAATTTTCAAAAAAAGGCACTTTATACAGGGTGATTCCTATAGTACCTGCCACCGTTTGGGAGCGTGTAGGTGGTGCGTAGGGGAGTATTTTGATATAGGACACTTGGGCTCGGAAATCTAAAATAAGGGTGCCAGAGCCAAATTTACCTTCTGGAATTTCGCGCCTGTAGGTAGGCAACCCAACCGGCCGGCGGTGCACACGGAGCGATCTCAGGCGGCGATGTGTGGCTGACACTTGTCAGAATTTTGTTTAATTTAAACCCACGAAATCCCGTCTGCAACGACGCGTATCAAGTGAATAAACACTATGGCACGTTTTACTAACACGGAATACGCGGACATGCACTTCATGTACGGATTGGCAAATGGTAACGCACGAGCTGCA